AAAAGGAAAAAAAAAAAAAAAAAAGAAGAAGAAGAAAAGAGAAAAAAATGTAAATTAAAGTACAAAGGGCAACGTGTATCGCGATTGGCCGTCGTTTAACCGTGTGTACAGAGATCGGATATACGACACGCGACACGTACGTCGCGTGATTTAACAGTGTAATGCTAATTAATTACCCTGGCGGAAAAGAAAATGGGATCTCGTAGTAGGCCTCGACCCTCGAGCGATTACGACTCAACTCCAGCGGAAGGGTTGGAACCCTTGATTTTATTGTCCGCCCACCACTCTCCCCCTTAACCACTCTACCCGCCGTCGCCCTCCTCCTCCCTCCTCTCCTCGAGTCGTCGTGGCCTCTCGTCGTTTCTTTTTCTCTTTCCTTTCCCTTTCGTCGAGTGTTACCAGTTGTTACCCGCCGCTAGAAAAGTTTCTTCCTTCGTATATTCGGTTATGTCTCTTCGTGTGTGTGCGTATATACTCGCGTCAGTGTGTGTGTGTGTGTGTTTGCGATCGACTGACCCGCGCAACACTGACCAGAAGAAGAAAGAAAGTGTTTCCGTGGGCCGTTGGAGGTCAAGGCATCGGCTCACTTGAAAGTTAATGCCAAGTTGCCTTCTCTTGTCGAGCTGTTCAATCTTTATACGTGTTTATGTATATCATTGTTCGTATAATGGAAGTTAATTGGACGTGCAGATCCATGATATAAACGAATATTATAATTGTATTATGACTGATTAATGTATTACATTATCTAGAAATAGAAGTGACTGGGTATAAAATCATTGGAGTTTTACAATTGAACGGAAATCATTAGGAAAAAGATATTAAACTTGGATGTTTATGAAAAAAGAAAAGAATTCATAAATTAATCATTAATAGATTAATAAACTTCAAAATTGTAACTGTTCTCCTATTCTCGTTCCCTCTGTTAACAATTATGAGATTAACAATAATCTTGATATAATATGTTATCATTTAATCACTGAGAAATCCTTTCCTTTATCGAATATTATTATAAAATTTTCACGAATGCTTTCAATCTCAAATAATAAAATATTAATCTTAAATATAATTGTTTTATTAACAATTCTTCTAAATTGTAATTTAAAATCGAAATACGAATTATATCACTGTGACAAAGATTACTTTCTCAGATTATAGATAAATTTCGAATCATTTATATTCAATTATCTCTATTATCCCCGAAAAAAACAAAACTTCCTTATCTCCCTTATCAATTATTCTCATACCTTAGAAATTTGCGTTATGCACAATACAAACAGTTCTTTTACCAGCACGGTCAACGTGTGTTTAAATGCACGTGTCCCGATAACAGAGGGTCCTCTGTTGCGCAACGAGTCGAAAAGCAAACGGATGAGTAATACATACAAGCCATGGTCCTACACCATGAACTGACCACCGCTAGATTGTGCTGGTCATGGTTGTTTCGACTCTTCCCCCTCACACTCTCTCCTTCTTTGCTATCGTACCTTTTTTCTCTTATTTTATCACGACCTTCTCTGTCTCTCTCTGTCTCTCTCTCTCTCTCTCTCTTTCTCCCTGACAGAGTGTAGCCCCCGTTGTCCCCCCTCCCTTTCAGAGAACGGTCCTTCCTTTCGTGGATCGAAAAAGGAGGAAAGAAAGACAGATAGGGGGAAAGAGATAGCGAGTGAGGGGTCAAGGGAGAGGGTGGACGACCCGAGAAAAGAGGGAAAACGAGAACGAAGTCCGAGAGGGAAAGTTGCGGAGGGTGGGTGATAAATTGATAGTGGACGTGCGCCACGCGCCCCTACCCCAGGCCAACAGACCGACAGACCAGCAGACCGAATGACACCCTCACCCCGATCAACTGCCCCCGACTGTTGATACTCTTCCTCGACTGGAATTAAATGATCAACGCGGTCGTTCAGTCACGTAAGTTATCGCGTCGTTACACAACCGTCGTATGCATTTGATACGTTTGATGGGGAGCACCAGATTCGATGAATTATATTCTTCCGCTCGTTAGAGAGTGCGTGATCTCGCCACTTGAGTGGAATTAGACGCGTTTGTTGATTTGAATTTTTCTTTCTCTCGTTTCAACCATTTTATTATTCTCCCATTTTTTCCCAATCTTTCTCCCCCTTCTCTCTCAAAAGGAAAAGCACGAACGTATAATATACTTGTACATAGAGTGGAAGAAGATTATAACTCGTTTATCGTCGAGTTGTTTTAATTTGTGTGTAATAAGTTAGAAATAATTAATTAAACGAGCACTTCTTCCTGTATAGTAGTGGAAATATTGGAAATACAATCATAAAAATATATGAATTGAGCGAAAGTTTCACGTAAACAATGTAAGATCATACAATATCATGTATATGTGAAAAAAGAATATTCTCTTTGCGCTATTGAAGATATCATGTGATTATGTGATCTGTTCAAGAGGAACACTTTGGCATCAGTTAAAAAGATTAACTGGATAGTTATCTGATTTCTGTGAATTTAACTTGAAAAAAAGGGGAAATGAATGTAAATTGGATAAAGGATTGATCAGAACAAATTTCTTTCAGCAATTTATCTGATTATATTGAGCTTCCATTTTCAAAGATTAGTGGAAATGTATTATGATTACGAAGAATATAGATCATTATTTATCGTATATACGTTTCACACAAGATTTTTGCAATGATTAAGATATAATTGAGATTCTATTATACAATAATTGAACAATATATATATATATAATTTTTTCTTGGATATTTACAAGAATTTTCTCCAATCTATAGATAACAAATTTCATTACTGCTTAAAATATTAAGAATCATTAACAATTTTCGATAAAAGTGTCAGAAAACGAGTTGCATTACACCTAAAAGCAACGAAAGCTGAAGTTTATAAGAGGAAAGGA